GCTACTCCCATGAAAATGCACCGATTGACCCCAAACTCAAAAAGATGAAAGATGACCCAAAGGGTAACAACTACCCATTATATTATAGGTTAGATCTGTGTAGTTTCAGAAAAGCAGCAGAAATAAAAAAATTTTCGCAAAAAATTAAGATTTTTAGAAAATTTTGGCCCGTTTGACCTTGAAATAAAGGTCAAAAGTCACATCCAAGGGCATATTTGGAATCTTCACATATGACTTTCGGTCAGACTTCTGTAGTAATTTTTCCCATAATTCCTTCGATTTGGGAGATATTTAGCATTGAATTTTCAAAAATTTTGACAAGGGTGTGTTTCAACGAGCGTCATGCCCAGGCCAATGCACTGACTGAGACAAAAAGAACAGGGGGTTCAAGTTGAGATTATATGTGACCTAAATCCAAGAGATGGGGACATGGGTCCTTGCAGTCTAGGAGGAGAAGCAGTAACGGTGACTTGTATCCGGCGCCAGTACGCAGAGCCGGCGGAGCCGCAGGAGCCGGCGGAGCCGTACGAGACGGGTCGGGACTAAAACCATGAGTACCACCAGCGTACACGCTGGTGGTACTAATAATACTGAAAATGAAATATTTTATTAAATCTATAAACCAGCACTTTCTTCAGCTTAAAAAAAAAAACATATAAAATTTAACAGCATATTGGTAAAACACTTAAGTGATGTATAAATTCTATTCCTATACATAAATATCACAAAAATTTGGGTGGTAATTGAATTAATTAAAAAAAACTTATCAATACCTGCTGTCTTCCCAGTCATGTGCTCTCTTGGTTTCATTTGGTTTGATACACCTTATATAATGTGGGGTGCACTTCATCAAAGTATCTACAAGACGGTTGGCCTGAGTCTAGGATACAAAACAGTTAAAACAATATCTCAATAATTATTGTTATAATTAGAACCTTATCTAGAGACTTCTCAGCATCAAGTGTGTGTGTGAGAGCATGTGTGTAAGTGTGTGTGTGTGTGTGTTTGTGTGGGCTCATTCCCAAGTAATTATTTTTTTCCAATGTGCATTACACGAACTAGATTTCTTCAAGCAAGGTAAACATTCACCCTGATTTTACTGCCTGCAGTAGTAGGACGGCCACGTGTGGTAGAGCTAACATCCTCTGGGAAAAGACTGGCAATGAATTCACTGAAAAACCAAGCAAATTGGACACTGTAAGATAATTTGCTTTAAACAGATTTCGAAGAATTATACAAAATTCCGGTGTTCAGACTAAGATATTTCAAGATTACTAAATGCATTGCAATACGGTCCGTTTTCTCTACATGGTATACGCACTTTTCACTGCTTTGCATCAGCTGTATCAAATCTGGGAAGAGGACATCTCTGTTACGCTCACAGAAACCTTCTGCATCATAGGAAACCTTGTAAGGAAAAAAATATCATAAGACAATATTACTACCTCTGTTGTGATATCTTGTGTTAATAAAACTGCTGCAGCTGATTAAACCCACACAAAGACAAATGTAAAGATACATATTTCAATCTCTTTAAAAAAGTTTACCAGTGTTTCAAATGTGTAAAATCCAGTTACAAAAATGCTAACAATTATAATTTATAAATGAGGTTGTGTGACTGGCATTCGTATCATAATAACCACAGGATTCCACATTTAATGCCTTATCTGTTTCTGGATAGCAAGCAATCCTACCTTGCCAGCATAGTGGTGTATGACAAATCCTATATTGGAGCCTTGGTAATGCTGATGTGTTCCTACTGCTGCTTGAAGTTTCTGAAAAAAAAACAAACACATATGATATCAACAGGAAAAACAACTTCCAAACTCACTCATAAAAAACTCAATACAGTATCATGACAAACACATGAAACTTTGAGAAAATCCTTTTAACTAAAATAAGGATTCAGTTGACTGGCTGATAAGTTTTCACTGAACACTCTAAAGTAGAGATGCTGCAAAAACAATTTCAAAAATTCAAATTAGACCAAATTTACCTGTAATAGCTTCATATCTGCTCCCTCACTGACAGCATGCAATGTAGCACAGACATCATCCAGTACACACATAATACCAGGGGGACTCTTTGACTCAATGAGATCACACACTATCTTGTTGTTGAAGTAGTCAATGGAATTCCATTTTATGCCTTCCTGGATGTATTCCTCCTATAAATAGTAATTTAAAATAAGTATTTTCAATTTCATGTTTGCTGATTTAATATACAAAAATGATACCAAAATCCATATGAAAAGTTTGTAAAACATGTCATAAAATGTGACATGAAATATATACAGCAACTATCATTTCATCTTTATATATTATATTTAATTTTTTTATGTGTACATACCTGCTCTGCCTTGAGAGTCAACTCTATGAAAATCTGCTGCAGTTTTTCATTGACATAGTTGATGCAAAACTGTTCAAAACCATTCTTTTGAAAGATTTCAAATCCATAAATGTCAAGGATGCCAATGTTTATTTCTTCTCTTTGTTTCACCATGGCTCCATTTGTTCTCTGTATTGAAGAAACATGGTATGCACACAGTTCAGTCACTACGTCACATAATCAATGTGTATAATGCAGCATAAATAATAGATAAGAAATGGCACCAATGTCTCTTCTACATCTAAAAACACAATTTACATCTAGGCACAAATAGATAAGATTGCCATAACTGGCATCATTATAGTACAATTTCTTTTTAGTTAAATAACTTATTTTTTAGCACTTCGGTGTTAAAAGAAAATGATTAAATCAAATATTTATATAGTCCTAAAATAATTTCTACATTTTTT